AGGCTGTCAACGTGCTTGGCTCCGCGGGGGAGGAGTCGCGCCCCGGTGTCCTGCCCCGCGCTGCCGCGGTCTCAAGCGATGGAGTGCGGGCAGCTGCAGTCCCTGGGGTGGGATATGATTCTCCCCAGCCAAGGCTGAGCTGCGTTAAAATACCTCCTGCCGAGCGCGTCGGGGGTTTAAGTGGGTGCCTGCCATGTACTAAATATAACGTAAACCTTGCTAGTAACTGGCAGTGCCTAAGAGCTATACAGCCAGTTTAGTTTACTGGGGGTAAAGGCTAATCTTAGTCCTTGATAGTTAGTGGGTTTTTTTTTCAGATGTCTAACTTTGAAAACCCTAGTGAACGTTTGCTTGAGAAGGTTGCGTGTGGTTTGATTAAAGCCCTCTAGCCCCGACCTGCAATCTGTAGTCTGTGCAGGAGTCACTCGATACAATGTTGACAAAAGAGTTGCTGAAATAATTTTCCCTTCCTTTAGTTTACAATGGATTTTGGATAAACAAGATCTATTGAAGGAACGCCAGAAAGACTTGAAATTTCTGACTGAAGAAGAATATTGGAAACTACAGATATTTTTTACTAATGGTAAAACTGTTTTATTTCTGCCATAACATCTGTACAGTATCTGCCATGGCTAAATCAAGTTTGAATTGCTTAGAGAATGTAATGTTTTCATTGTGATATTACATATACTTTCACAATCTATTTTAAGAAGGAACTGGAATATCAATAACATTGTCATTTGTTAGTTGTATTAACACAATTTTAGGAGAACTTACAGGCAAATTAGTTGCATATATAACATTTTAACCTGTGATGGGACGAAACATAGTACATTTTCTTATTTTCAAGAGGTTCTTATCAAAAACATCAAAGGAGGAGAAGCAAGCAGAAACTGCTAAGCTAGCATGTTAAAGGCTCAATGTCAAGCATTAATACGCAAACTGGGCTTTTGGTGGGCTCTTAGGCTGTGGTAAGTATTTTAGCTGATCTGTGCAGCCCTGTTAAACAGCAACGCATGAAAACTTGTTATTTGTGTTCAGTTACGTTCTTTGAAACCTGCACCGCAGCCTGTGTCTTGCCTTGTGACTGATTCCCCAGCACCAGGTGGCTCTTAAATTGTCTACAAGTTTCTGAGAACTGTTGGCAGGCATCCTGTTCTCCCAAAGAGTTTGGGCCTTGTCTGTGAAGTTATCTAAGACTTACTTGATCCTGCAAAGCGTTTAGCCATATGAATGGCTGCACTGGAGCATATCAGATTACGCAGGCACTTGAAGTCTTTTCTGTGCAATTCTTCAGCATTTAAAAAAAATCTCCCTAAGCAAAGGATATTGCTAAGTAGTAATTTGTTTGCAGACAGCTTTTAAAATATTTTTCACAGCCGTCTTGTAAAGTCCAAAATGCTTATTTTTTCAGCTCTCTGGCCAGACTTGAGACAGAGAAGTTAAGTGACTTTCCCAAGGCCACCGGAAGATCTTATGTCAGTGCTGGAATGATATCTGTGAAAGATATTTATCCCAGCTTCTCTTCTAGCTTAGCTATTTTTATAATAATTGCTGCAAATCTGATTGCTGTGGATACATCTGTGTTATCACTTATACGGCACCAGGAAATCAAGCTGGCAGTGATTTACCTTTTCGATCAATTCCTGAAATTCCTTGAGGTTAAAACAAAGTGTCATAGCTTCATAACGCAAAAAGAGAAAACGGGGTACTGATATTTCTAAAACTGTATTTCTGTGCTAATTTTCACTCGTATTAATTTGAATTATGAAATACGCTTTTTTAACTGTCCCACTTCAGTATTTTTCTTGAGTAAACAAAGACCTACAAAGTAGACAAGGTGGTTTCAGTTTGTGGTTCTCAGGCTCCTTTTCCTTGGCATTCTTCGCCTCCCCTGAAGGTACAGTGTGTGACCTGCGGCAGCTGGAGAACAGCTCTGCCAGCATCTCCCTTGTGCGCGTGCGAACACAGCTTATCCTGGAGGAGAGAGTGGTGCTGGGCTTTCACCCCTTCTGTAGCAAAGAGAGGCACCTTATTGGGAAGGACAGTCAGGGGCGGCTCTGTGCGGGTGGGAGCTCAGGCAGAGCTTGCCGTGTTCGAGCCCTTGATATGTGTTGTATCATCACCTGCCTCTGAACCTGCTTTGGGTTTACAGAGCCTCCCCCTCTTCTCTCCCACCTCCTGCCTTACCTGGGTAGGGATATGAGTCTCGGCCACGGGTTGTCACATTCAGCATGTGTCTGCCCAGGAGATGGTTGTTACCTAAAGCAACCAAAAAATTGCCTGGAGAGGCAGTTTCCGGCTGCCTCCTTGTTGGAAAAGAAGTTCAATAGATCACCAACTGATTGTATGGCCATGCACGACTCTCAGAATGTTAATACTGTGGAGAAGGAAAACTATTATCTTCTAAAATAGTTCGAAAAAGGAAATTAATGTTGATTTCTCTCTTTGGATCACCAAGTCTTAATAGAGTTTTTGGTTGAAAAGCGCATTAATTGATTTCCCTTTCTGGATTAGGGCGGAAGATGTAATGTTTGTATTAGAGGCTACTCAAGATATTCAGATTTAAAACAATTTTTATTTAAAAAAACCCCACTGAAACCACTTATTTTGTAAACATAAGGGAATAAATAATCCAACAGTTTCTTTTAAAATATTTTAAAAATTAATTACAAGTATTGGACTTCTTCCCAGCATATACAACCTTCCATTTCATTAAGTCTCTCTAGGCTCTTGTCCATTTTTCTCCCTAAACCACACTTGATTTTTCTCTGACAGCAGATGGCCTAACCGTTCCTGAAAATCCCATGGGAGTGAGAAACATATTTGGAGAATTCTGTTTAGCTTAATATTTGAATTTTTCTGGGGCCCTATGTAGTAGGACAGCTTTGTAGCCCCACGGTCAAATCAAAGGGAAATATCCTTTCAAACCTTCCAAGATATGCTGATAAATATTTTAATATTTGTATAGACATTGCATACCGGGTTTAACCTTCTTTCTGGCAGTATTGCTTGTCCTACTGTCACTGGCAAGCTAGTCTCAATTTGGCATTCTTCTGTTTAGGAAGAGAGTGATATGACACGGACAGGGACTTAATGTTGCTTTGGGTAATCATAGTGGGTGACAAATTAGTTTCCTGTGGGGAAAAAAAAGAGTTGCCAATCATCAGTGCTGTTCTGGGTGGTTTTCTCCTTTTCTTCTACTTTCAGCCCTTTTCTAGCCAACGATGTCCTTCATATTTGCATGTTTTAAATGCTGTGATGCTCATTACAAGTGAGAGTAGGGTGTACCCTACCTGTTCCCAAGGGATATGGGATAAGAGCATGGGGAAGAAAATCTGGTCTTGTGTGCTTAACTAGAGACTAAGAATTTAGCGATGACTGATAACAGAATTGTTTGCTTTTCCCATCAGTGGTCGCTGTCTTGATCTTGCTGTACATATTTTAATTATATACTTAAGTGTATTTTAAATTATTGTTTTGGACATTTCTGGTGGGGGAGGAAAAAAAGAAGAGAGAGTCTTAACACAGCCGAGCCCTGCTCAGAATAATGACCTCGGAGAAGTGCGGGAAAAATAACAAGTAACAACCTTATGTTTCACTGTGCCATTCTCTATATCCAATCCCTGCTCTTAATCCCAGCTTGATGCATCTAATTTGCTTGGCACCTTTCCTTTGCCTGGGAGGCCAAACAAGAGCTACCTGCACAGATGACACCAGGGTTGTTTCTTGGCCAACTGGCAGAAGACCACTATGATGGAGCAGCTGACTGCATCCTCTGGTCTCCCACCCCCTCTCCCTAGACTAAATGTGTCATTTTTTTAACACCTGCTGCCTCTGCCAAATTTAATGACCATGTTTGTGTTGGCAGCTTTAGTTGTCTGAAAAAAACCCATCCATTTTGCATGGCACTGAAAAGCCATAGTCTTATATTTTAAGTGTTTGAATTTGTTTTGCTCTAAAATGGAATACCCAAGCTTTACCCTTCTGAGATTTGTGTTGTCATCTTCTTAAAGGTCATACTCACTTTGTACACAATGAAGTCAAGTTATCTTTCCCTTTTTGAAGGCGTCCACAAGCTTCAGGATGCAGTGCTGCTTCTTCATCTGCAGGTCTGTAGGTTTACAGCAACATGTTGTCTCACCAGAACAACGTATCTGAACTGAGGGAGAAGGCTGTGCTGCTGCTCCTTAGAATCCCCAGCACTAGTCATGTTTTGAGATCCTTTGCTATTTGGTGTCAAATTGTTGTAAAAACTCAACTCAAGCTTTTGTTCATTTTTTTTAAGTTATCCAGGCTTTAGGTGAACATCTTAAATTAAGACAACAAGTTATTGCCACAGCTACAGTCTACTTCAAGAGATTCTATGCCAGGTAGGACTGTTTACTATGATGGTACAAGAATAAAACATTTGCTAGGCACATTTTGGTAGCCCTTTTAAAATGCAGTTCTGTATTAAAAACAGTGCCACTTTTGTTTTCTGGATGGTGTAAAGCTTTTATGCTAATAAAGATAACTTAAGCTTTGCTTTTTCAAAAGGAAGTGTGGTGCTCTTAATAGATTAATCGTTCTACGTGTGTGAAACAACATATTATAATTTTGTTATAACATTTCAGATATTCCCTAAAAAGTATAGATCCAGTATTAATGGCTCCTACGTGTGTGTTTTTGGCATCCAAAGTAGAGGTATGAAGTATTACAATTTTTTAATGTAAAATTATGTGATGTATGAGAGAGAGAAAAAGTTTAGGACTTTTAAATTTTTTGTCATTCTTCATGCTTTGGGGTTGAAATCTTCTCTTTTTGTATGGATTTCTAGAGCAATTTAAGAAAAGGAGACGGAGAAGGCCTTCAAACATGTTATTTAGTATTTGATCTTTCACAATTTTGTCTGAATTACCTACCCTGAAGGGCCTCTGAAAATTGGAAAGAGTATTTTAAATGGCTGTTTCACTGTGATACAGTGTTTACATACCTACATACACTATATCTTATATTGTGCAATGTCTCCTTTCTGGTGTCTTTTTCCTTATTTATGTTTACTCAAACTTTAAAACATAATACGAAATTTTTTCCTAATTATCCTTTTCCCTTTCATATAGTGAGGGATCCTCAGAGTTTACCACACTTTCATTATTTGAATTAAAAGTATGTTGTAGCTCATACGCTGTCTTTGGGAAATTATCATAAGGAACTGGCCCGTTAAGGATAGTGGTGAGAAGGCTCCACGCCTCCACCATTCAAAGTCCACTTTGAATGTGGCCAAGGTTAGCATCAGCTGGGCGCTGCTCTTAGTCCTCTGTAATGCAAGAAGTTTTACAGCTGTTTGAGAAGTGTCTGTGTAATGGAAAAAAAATCAAATTGGCCAATCTGTGATATCTCAGCACCAATGAATTTTACAGGAGGAACTCAAATACGTAGTGGATGGTAGAAGCAGTCCTACTAAACCAGTGTCTACATGTAATACTGTTGTCTGTACGGATACTGTGATACCTTCCAGTGTTTGGAAGAGATGAAGGACAGGAGAAAGACGCAGAGTATTGGAGAGATTTTTTTTTAATCAGCCTTTAAGAAAGTACAGACATGGAGTGTATATATACAGATGTACCTTATATTTTAGAACAAATACTAGAAGTCTGTGCAGCCTTCCTTATGCTAAAGCTTCTGCAACTTTAGAGGGCAGCTATAGCAGTAATGATTCAGCTATGCACTTCTCTGAAAGAACACTGTATACAGAAAATTTTCAGCTTACTGTCTGTCTCAGCAGAGGAGCTAAGGCTTCGTGGAAACATAATAAAAAAAGGTAGTTAATGACAGGTTTCTAAAGGCAGTTTTCTCTCCAAGTGGGTTAAGGAAAAACAACATACCTTCTTGAAGCCCTCTTGTCTATTTTGTATGTAGAGTGTTAGCCAACTGAGCTTTTGTGGCGTTAGTACTTTTCATAAATGTTTACTATTCCTCACAACTCAAACAACAAAGTAACTAATCAATGAAAAAAACTCTTTACCTAAGAGTTTACCCTGTTCACCTTAAGAAAAAAAAAAAAAAAGGAAAGAAAAAGGGGTGGGGGAAAAAAGAGAAATACTGCATAAAGAAGCCCAGCTTAGTAAGAAGCCATTATTTTAATTTGATAAAGGTGTGAGTATATGGTGTTTCAGGTGGTTCACCTCATTTACCATTCTTTTTCTTCAGGAATTTGGTGTTGTTTCAAATACAAGGTTGATTTCTGCTGCTACTTCTGTATGTAAGTATCGGTGATTTTCATTATACTGTAGTTAGGTATCTCTGTAGGGAGATCAGACATTTTCTTTGTGAGTTTTTTTGTTTGCTTGTTTCTAAAAGGTACCTTTTATCAAGTCATGGCGGGGCTTGCGTGTTGACTGCTAGGAGCCAGTTAAAGCCATTTAGAATAAATAACTTCCATTTCTAAATATGGAAACGGAAGGGCCCCCTTTCTGTATTAGTTTTGGTTGATTCTGGTTGGAATTTATGCCAAGCATAAATAAAAATAAAGTAATGAAATTAAACTATTGAGGTTTATAAACAGTCTCGAGTAGTAAATTGACTTCTGAACTACTCAGAGATAGAACTGGAACCTTAAGGCTTTATTTGTCTGTTTTATAAAAGGTATGGCTCCGTGGAAGTACCTGTTTTCAGAATTTTTGGTAGGCTGTATGCCTTCTAATTTTTTTTTATCCTTTTTTCCCTCATCATAAAATTAGTCTTTGCACGTGATACTTATTTCTAAAAATACATTTTATAACCTATATATTGTTCACAAATAAATGCAATAAAATCACACTGTAGTTACTTAATTCTCTATCTTTCCCACTTGCCTTGTATTTCCCAGTTCCTGTAACTTGCATCTCATCCTTCAAGGTCTTAGTGATGGCTTCCTTAACTGAATGCTATAATTTGACCCAGAAGGCCCAGCTGTGCTCTTCAAAATGTAGGTCATTGCTTTCAAAATCCCTCTTAGCTGTTGAGGGGACAGGTGACTGGCTGCATCTGTAGCCTCCACATGCAGTAAATATATCAATCCGTGGGGCTGGCCGTATGACAGTTCCACCGCCACGAACTGAAACACATCTTCAGTGCCAGCATGACCAAGACCAGTACTGGATTTAGCAACAAGAGTTGCTATTTTTACAGCAGTAGCATCTCAAAGCACAGATCTATGTGGCAGTTTTGATGCATCAGTGAGAAAGTTAGATGGATTTTGGTAAATATGCAGTAGCTGATTTTATTTAGGCTTCTAGTCCTGAGCTGTGCTGTATCTGAAAATCCCAAGTCTCAGAATCCCGTAGAAGATTTCCCCCACAGTTCTTCCTTCAGACCTAGAAGCCCTGCCTGCCCTCATAAGTACTCTGCATTTCATGGAAGTGGGGACAAAAAGCAACAGGCTTTCTCCTAGCATTGATGTCTTTTATTCTGCCTGGTCTTCCTTTACCAGAGTTGCTTCAGTAGCACACAGCAATTTTTTTGGAGGTCTTCATACAAAAGGTGAAAAAAGATGAGGCGAGACAAGTAAAAGCAAGCTAACAAAACGGGTGACTAGTGTAATAGTGGTTGGTTGAAAAGGTTTGTTTGCTTTTAGTTAGGTAGAAACATGAAGTTAGTAACACATGCTTCCTTTTTAAGGAAGATGATCTCAGACTGGTTTCTGGCAACCTCTTCAAAAGCTCTTTGCTCTGTTTCCACGGCTCACTAAAAGGACAGCTCCATATGGTTGTGTCTGCAGCTTGCCTTGTGGGAAAAATGTTTTGTTTCCCTATCTTCCCCCTCAAAGTGGTTTATTTTTTTTACTATGTATCTCTTCAGTTTGCATGCTTCTTGAGAAACCTGTGTTATTCATTTTTCTCTTTCTCTAAAATAGTTAACATTTCCAACCAGTAGCCTAGTTTGACTGTCCTACAGCAAATTTTCTAGCAAAGTCCACCATAGGTCTAAACGTTTAAGTCTTTAGTCCAGAGGACTGACACTGTCTTTTCATCAAAGTGAATGGCGTACTGATTTTCTGGAAGTAGTATCAATTCATAATATACTGTCATTAATGTAAGGAATATTGTCCAATTCCAAAATGTTAAATGTTACCTGTTTTCCTTGGAGGACAGGGACTTAAAATAGATTTTTAAATGTTTCACTTGTATAAATCTCCAATCCACATCCTCAAGTGTACTTAAGGTTTTTTTTTTCTCAGCATTCTAATATGAGATCACTCTGTTTTTGCAACTTAACATAATTCTTAACAGTGCACTATTTGTACCTGTTCTCCTTGTAAAATGCATGAGGATAATTAGGTATCTAAATCGGGGATCATCATAAGCTAGAAAACTGAGTATATATTTGAACATTCTCTTGGAGGCAAGTGTCTTGAATCGTATCATATGCCTAAGCAGATGCTTAGGTGTCTCTCTTAAGGAGAGAAACAGCCTTGAAATGTCTGATAATCCAGTGCCTAGGACATTGATCTGCAGTGTGGTGAATTGACTTCTTGCTTTGAATTTGAGCCTGTTTTTTGCATATTGAAAATCTTTACATACAAGTTGGACATGTATGTGGACATACAAGATCTCCTGGCTGAGCTCCCTCACCCTGCCCTTGGTCTTGCTTTTCTAAGACTTCATTACATGGTTTAAAATCTTGCATGTTGAAGAGTCAAGCCTATGTAAAAAATCCCACATGAAAATTCCATTTGGATTTAGTGTTGGAACTGAGATCCTGAAGAGATCACCAGATTCGGAGTGACATCAGTAGGCAAATAGCTCTGTGAATGATAACTTGTGGGAAGTTAGGTGCCCATAAGCTAGTTGGTAGTTAACCAGAAGGTGCCCAAAGCGGCAGATAAGTGTCTGGCTGAGTACCTGTGAAAATCTGGGTTTCAGGTGTATTTCTGTTTCCCTTTCAGGATCTTAAATCTTATCACTTAACTTTTCTCTTTCAAATACAAACCTTTTGTGCTGCAAGCAGTTGTGCTGCCAAATGGATGTGAAGGGCTATATACAGATGAATTAATAGAAAGCGAAAGAAGTAAAAGTATTAATTACATAATTTGTAACATACTGATTTCTCTTTACTGTAGTGAAAACCAGGTTTTCATATGCCTTTCCGAAGGAGTTTCCTTATAGGATGAACCATGTAAGTATGCTGTTCGAAATACAACTTGATCAAATAAATTAAAAGACAAATAATTGTTAGCAGGAAATCCTGTCTTTTAAATTCAGTATTTTCATACTCTATGTCAGGTGCTCATGCTTAGTTTTGGATAGATTATTGGGAAAGTTACTTTTAAAAGTAATGAATCTTAGATAACCTCCTTTCCTTAAATTATTGACAGGAATGCTATAAAGAGTGATAAAGATGTGACTGGGTGACTGAAATAGTAATTTTTGTATAGTATGATGATAAAAGAACTTTAGCTTTTTTTGAATGTTCGTGTTTACAAATACATTGCTCCAGGGAAGGTAAATAGCCCTTGCACCTGGGATGCTTCCAAGCTTGCACACAGAAGCAGTTGGCTTACAGAAAGCAGTTTTATTTTTGCCTGTAAAATGTAATGGCTTTTGAAAAATAATTTTTATTTATTATTTAAAATTTAAATTTACCACTGGTTTTCGAGGCATTCTCAGTCACAATGCTGAGAAATTTTGTAGTTTTTCTTGAAACCAGTTTTGATCTGTGCTGTACTATTTTTAAAGTTAGATAAATCTAATTATTTTTACATTGACTGTGACAAATACTACTTTTTTGTTGGTTTGCTTTTCACCCAATCTAGGAAGCCAAATGATATATCAGAATATAAAATATCTAAGAGCTTGCAATAAAACTGCACTGCTATTTTACAGATAAAGGCAAATGGAAATAGATTTTGGAGTACTGCTTTCCTATAGCTAAAGCAGTCTAGTCTTTTCCTTCATAGCACTAATCCGTCACGATCTCTATGGAAAATGAGAGCTTATTTAATTGCTGCAATTGGACAGAATATTTCATATGAAATTAAATCTGAAAATACTTTAAAAGGCCATTTGGCATGTTAGTGGCCTGATGAAGAGCTCTAATTCTACAAAAGGAGAATTATTGCTCTATTGCTGTTAAGTGTTTATACACTGGGAACAATTTGCTGCTGCCAGGTGTTGAAACAAATCAGACAAGTACTGCCAATGAAGTAGTCTTTCAGAGTAAACTTGATCCAAAATGTTTAAATGCATTGTTGTTATGGCTGGAGTTAAGTTATAATGGTGGTAAGGCAATGGCTAATAATAGTTTGATTTTTGTTTGGTTTTGTAGTTTCAGATGAAATGCATTTAGGACTGTTGGAAATAGGTCTTGAGAATTCCTGTGCATTCATGATGTTAAACTGGATGCCAGTTAATTCTTTCTGCTGTCTGAAACATGCTGCTGGTTTAACTGTGATTTTACTTCTTTGCAGATACTAGAATGTGAATTCTATCTCCTAGAATTAATGGTAGGTGGGTTTTTTTGGTGGTTTGCGTTTTTTTTTTTTTTTGCTCTTGCCTTGGTTTACTTTTTACTGGTGAAGAATATTTTGAATTTTGTCCTATGAAATATGCATTATGCTATCTTCCCCCCCCCCCCCCCCCCACTGTTTTCTTTCCCCCCCCCCCCCTCCAATTTTAGAATGATGTCCATGCAGGTCTAACATTTACATTTTCAGCAGAATGCCATAATTAGTGTGCTGTCATCTAAGTTGAGTGAGGGCATTCTCGCCTCCTTGTGTTGAAGCTGGACTTCTCAACAGAAAGAGGGCAGATTGCGGGAGCGGTGGGGACGGGAGGAGTGTGTATGGCTCTGCATCCTAGTGGTTAGAGCACTGTTGGGAAGGGTAAAGCGTAAGTTCTGTTTCCAGAACTGTGTCTGTTTTTAAAAGAAAGGTAACTCTATGTAAGTCCTGATGCAGAGACTAGGATGTCGGTATCCTTATTTCCCCAGATGAATGGCCAGTCAAGAGCATAAAGAGTTGTATTCTTGCTATGCCCTCTTCTTCTTGCCTGGAAGAATCTGGACCTGTACAACGGTCCAGCTTCAGCTGAAGGTGTGGGTAGTATTCTACTGAGGCTAATCTATAACTTGATAATTAGAATAATCTTCTAGGATTGAAGATTAGTAATCTTCTAGTTGGGGGGTTGAATCCTGTGAGGAAGAAACTGAATTCAGGGCCTCCCATTTTCTGAGATGGTGCTGTAATTATTAGGCTGTTGGATGCAAGGAGCACAACATGACATTTTCTTCCAGCACTTTCAAAGAAAGGAGCTGTACCTGCTTTTTCTAAGGGTTGCTATCCCATTGCTGTGTTTTGTAGGGCAGCTGAAAGGATGCAGCCCAGACTTCTTAGGGGGCTTAGGTGAAGTGGTGCCTGATTTCTGCATATTGGTTGGGCTTGGATGGGTTGGGCACCGACCTCGCTGTACTAAGGTAGTTCTGCCCAAGTGCAGAGAAGAGGAGAGAGAAGCCAGGGGGGAGCCTAGTGAGTTAGGCAGCAACTGAGAAAGTATATGTTTTGGGAACAGGGCACAGAGGAGGTCGGATCAAAGTTTTTGTATGTGCCTACAGTTGTTATAACCCCTTTTTAGATATCCTGTTTAGATTTAGTGCTTGATACCTCTGCTATACATGGCAGTAAGTCTTGAGTTTTGTATACAGGAGTTTCATCACAAGTAACTGCATTTGCAAGAAGTTACGTTTTGGGGATTAACTTATTTTTCCAGTACGCTATGCAATATATAGCATTTATAATAACTGTGTCTCACTTCAGTGTTCAGCATATGTAACTTAATGCGACTTTTCCCTATAGTATCCATACAGTTGGCTGCTTTCAGCAAGAGGGTTATTTCTTCTTGTTTATACCAACCTGGGCCTGAAAAGGGGGGATTTGAGAGCAGTAGATTTTTTTTTTTTTCTTTCTTTCTTTCTTTCCAAACCAGTGTCAATTATTTTGGCATGCTTTCCATGTATGGTATTTAGTGACAGACTGTTTTCTGGCAGTGTTTTGTATTTCCAAGTGGGAATTACGGGTTTGTAAGCAAATGAGGTTTCAGTGTGCTGCAGATGTGGCTTTCTCTGTCTCTTAGGGGAAGGACATTGACAGACTGGCAACCATACTATGTAATGGTATTCTAGAGAGAGCGCTGCCCTCATTAGAGCAGGGTTAGGTGTCAGACTGCTACTTGAAAAAAAAAAACAGCAGTAATTGACTTGTAAACCAAATGTTTTTAATATGAACTGACAACACATTCTGCATTGTAATCTAACTTTTATTCCGTTGACATTTTTCCTAGGACTGCTGTTTGATAGTATATCATCCTTATAGACCTTTGCTCCAATATGTGCAAGATATGGGCCAAGAAGACATGCTGCTACCTCTCGCATGGTAATGAAGACAGTCATTAACAATAGTGCCTCCTTTCAGCAAGAAAGCCAGTGTTTAACAGTCATCCTTCAAAGGTGGTTAAGCAAAAGCAGGCTTAGCCATATTTGAATAAAAAGGGTGCCCTAGTTAACCTGTGCAAGTATATGTCTCTGACTTAGCTTATTCTGTCTTTAACCCTGTAATGATTTTACTTTGCAGTGGTCTAAGTTTTATTTTTAGACTAGCTCTAATAGCACAGTTTTTTACAGTACTGAATGGTGACTATGAGTAGAGGTAATCTTCTTCTATCAAGGTCGGCTTTCGGTTGTATCTTGTCATAGGAGGTAGAAGCAGTATATAGGGGTTTTTAGCTGTGTTAGCAGAAGTCTTATTCTTGAACTGTTTCTCAAATACAGACAGACAGTAAAAATACTGTTTTTATGCTTACTCGTACTTATTTGTGAAACAGGGATAATTGTTTTATGGTGTACATCAACACCCTCTGCAGAAAGACAGTTATGGTACTATAATAGTGCTTCCAAATAAACTGCTGCTGTGACTACAAAGAAAAAAATGAAAGCCTTTAAGAGATTTTCACAAGGGAAGAGATCTCTTCCCTTGCTGTTTTGCCCTGCAGCCTCACTGCTTCTACCATCTGGGAAGCTGACAAAATATTTATAAACTGACAGCAGTTTTTGAAGTCATATAGACTAAAGGTGAGTAGGATGATACTTACAAGTTCTTTTTTGCACAGGAGGATAGTGAATGACACATATAGAACTGATCTTTGTCTGCTGTACCCTCCTTTCATGATAGCTCTAGGTAAGTAACACAAGTAATGTCTCTTGTGATGTTTAAATGGGTGTATTCTGTGCGCTGTCCCATCAACAAGCATTCCTTAGAATGCCCTCGTAAGGTGCTTCAGTTTGCGTTTCTTACAGTACTGACAGTGTAGCCTTGCAACTTAAAAAGTCTTGAAGAAAAATCAGATAATCCCGAGTTTTCTCTGTTGAACTGTATAGTGTTTATAAAAAATAGAATGTTTTTAACTGTGTCAAGACTGGATCTTTGTTCAGTATCTGTGTCACCTGATCTTTGCAGCTTGCCTACACGTGGCCTGTGTTGTCCAGCAGAAGGATGCAAGGCAATGGTTTGCTGAGCTGTCTGTTGATATGGAAAAGGTACTCTGTTTTTTCCTCCCGCCACCTGTTATGGACTGACCAGAAATGGTAGTCATGGTTATAAAACTACTCTCTTACATGTCTGCGGTACTGATTTGAACTTCATTCAGTGATCATATGTTAGGCGCTGTTGAAATTTGGTAGATCTCTTGGGGAGGGAGAAATGTCAGGTAATTCGGTTATCACCCTGCTCTGAAGGTCAAGACAGAACCATTGCATAATGGCAAAGTGTTGCCATTTTTCAGATGGAAATAAAAAACCAATATCCTTTGCATTTTTTGCCAGAAAAAGAATTTCCGGTGTTTTTCGTCATTCAAGATTGCCAGCACGAGTTTGACTTTTAAATTCTAGTGCATGTGACTTTCTGATTTGCATTTCAGCATTGTGCCTACATACTGTTCTCATTTTCTCCCTGTAAATGTACGTAGTATAGCAAAGTGTAAAACATTCTTGACGCTTTCAGGATGACCAAGACCATGACTTCATTCAATGTTAAACAGGGGGACGCCAAGATCATTCAGTTGAGTTCTCTGCTATTGCAAATTCCATGTCAAATAATCCCCTTCATAAATTTATCAGGTTCCAAGGTGCAGTTGTTCTCATACCAGTAATGTTCTTCATCTTCACTAGTTCCTTTTACTTTTTAGGTTGACTTTTTTAACCTTTGTTTAGCTCCAGCAAGCAAGCCAAACTAGTACTCATTACTCATACTCCTTATCACAGTTTCACTCTGCACATATTTTTCAGTCTATTTTTTTTGAAACTGAGTGTCCAGAATTGAGTAGCGTATTATGGATGAGATGTACCATTGCCCTCTGTGTCCTCGGTATTGCGCTTTATCCCACCGATGATATCCTGGCATTGTATTTGTACTCCAGGATTCGTCTTCAAATTTAAGGACAGTGAGGATGGTATGCTGCATCAAGAGCTCTGTGAATCATGCTTGTCATGCATGTAAAAGCAGGGTGATAATAAATTAGCAGCAGAGGAGAACCAACCTATATTTGACAGATAAGGTTACCATAAGCTTGATACTGAACATGTTTGAATGTTTACATGTCTTGGTTCTCATGCTTGATTTTTTATACTAACACCATGGACCTCTTAGCCAACTATGACTTTTGTTTCAAGGATATATATTGTTCTAGCACTTAATCAAAGTCCATATATTAAAAAGAAGTCTACTTTATTAATTTAGAGAATGAGGAAACAAATTAGGAACCAAACATTATCCATATTTTACATAGCATATTGGATCAGAAATTTAATAGGAAATTAAGATAGTTGAGGTGCAGTAGATAGAAAATGTCCAAACTGGTAGAGAATGCTTACGCTTCCAGAAGTGGAATATGAAAGTTCAACAATTCTTATATGTATATAATAATATAATA